TTTTTTATGCCAATGGCACTAAACATTTATCTTCAAAAATGCATTAACTTTAGCTGCTCTATTTGTTTTGTTTTTTTAAATAAATGGGTTCTTAATAATAACAACAAAAACAACAATAATTATTATTATTACATAATTAAAATGTGTGTAACAATTTAATAACAATAATAAACACACAATACATACAAAAAATACTTATTAAAACGACTTAAAAATATATTAATATATAAATATAAATGAATTTAAATATATACATTTATAATGTGTGTGCGTTTTAATTATTAATAATGATGATAACAACAACAACAAAATAACACACAATTAATATATATATATATATATACACACACACACACTGTATGTGTATATTCAAGTATAATAAATCCATTAAATCTACTTATAAGTATATTAGCATATAATTATATTTATATAAAGTTTATAAAAAGTCTTTATAAACTTTATGCAATAAAAATATAATATAATACATTAATAAATATAAGAAAAATAATAATACGTTAAAAACGATGCACAAAACAACATTTTAATAGTCTAGTTCTAGGAAATGTTCCATGTGCCCTGTACCTGCTCTGTATGCTGGTGTGGTCACAGTGGAAGGCTGAGAGAGACCAGCTGGATTTCGCGCTGCCACGGCAACGGTGATGTCACTACTGTTGTTAAGGATGATGGGATAGCTAAAGTTCCCAGGAGGAAGAGAAACCGTTGTCCAGCCGTCTTCCTCTGCTGAGCTCCGAGAAACCTCGTAGCCGTCTAACGCACCGTGACGTTTTCTCACAGACAGAGGCTGAATGAAATGAGGCACATGGCACCATGTTTACTTAGAAGAATAACATGTTACTCAGTTTTACGGCATCAGTCACATTTCCAATCCTAGATGATGGCAAACATAAAGCTGTTCTTACTTTCCAAAAAACACGTCCTGTGTTACTGCTGTCCATCCACATCCAGACATCAAGAGCATCAGGACCTGAAAATATACTTTGTTACAGATCTATATAAAGTTCATATATAATAAAAATAAGAGGAAAGGATGTAGAAAAGCAAGCTATGAAATGACACAAGCTTAGTGTATTGGAGTAGCTTTGATTAAATATCGGAGCTGTTGTATGTGGTGAAGTAACAGACAAAGTATACTGACTAATTTAGATTTATTGTGTAATTTTCTGCAAGTTAATTTAACCACTCACGGTCCATTTTAGTGTGGATTCTATAGGGGCCGCTCTCATCACCCCACTTCCAGAAACTGTGCTTAGAGCCACAGCGTAAAGTCACAGTGTAGTCCGAATCTGGCCACAAACCCTCCAGCACCACAGAAGATAAACCTGGACCACCGTAGTTACGCTACAGACACAGAGAGAGAGAGAAATATCAGCTGATCACCTTA